GGACGGTGGAAAGGACCTGGGCTCGGTGGTCAGATCTGGGTTTGAAACTTAGCTCAGCCACTTATTAAACTTGTAATCCGTGGCCCAGTTAACTAATCTTTCTGGTCCTGTTTCCCAGTCTATGAAGTGGGAAGAGCTAATGGTATCTACTCAATGGAGGAAAGTGCCATGGTACACATTTGGCTTACAGGCATTCAGTGAATGGAGTTTCTTCGATTTTTTTCTTGCCCAAGTCACCCAGCTAAGAAGTGGCCATATGAGCTGGGACCTCTGCCATCTTGTTGGGGCTGGGGAGAGCAGGACCTAGGAGGTAGGCACTGAGCTCTGAGATCTAGTCCCTCTGCCTAATGCGTCCCCTCTCTGCCAGGTCCTGGGGAATCAGAGAAGGTGCAGCAGCTGGAGGAGCAGGTACAGAGCCTGACAAAGGAGCTGCAGGGCCTTCGGGGTGTCCTGCAGGGACTGAGTGGGCGCCTGGCAGAAGATGTCCAGAGGGCTGTGGAGACGGCTTTTAATGGGAGGCAGCAGCCAGCAGATGCAGCTGCCCGTCCTGGCGTGCATGAAACCCTCAACGAGATCCAGCAGCAGCTGCAGCTCCTGGACAACCGCGTCTCCACTCACGACCAGGAGCTGGGCCATCTCAACAACCATCACAGTGGTGGTGGTAGCAGTGGCGGCAGGGCCGTGGACCCAACCCCGGCTCCTCCTGGCCATAGTGAGGAGTTGATGCGGGAGTTGGAGCAGCGGCTGCAGGAGTCCTGCTCTGTGTGCCTGGCAGGGCTGGATGGCTTCCGCCGGCAGCAGCAGGAGGACAGGGAGCGGCTGCGAGCACTGGAGAAGCTACTGGCCTCCGTGGAGGAGCGGCAGCGGCAGCTCGCTGGGCAGGCCCTGGGCCGCTGGCCCCCTCAGGAGTGCTGCCCTCCAGAGCTGGGCCGGCGACTGGCTGAGCTGGAGCGGAGGCTGGATGTAGTGGCTGGCTCAGTGACAGTGCTGAGCGGGCGGCGAGGCGCCAACCTGGGAGGAGCAGCTGGGCAGGGAGGCCACCCCCCAGGCTACACCAGCTTAGTGTCCCGCCTCTCTCGCCTAGAGGACAGATTCAATTCCACCCTAGGCCCCTCGGAGGAGCAGGAGGAGGGCTGGCCCGGGCGTCCTGGAGGGCTGGGCCACTGGCTGCCTGCTGCCCGGGGCCGACTAGAGAAGCTGGAAGGGTTGCTGGCCAATGTGAGCGGGGAGCTGGGTGGGCGGCTGGATCTGCTGGAAGAGCAGGTGGCAGGAGCTGTGCAGGCATGTGGGCAGCTCTGCTCTGGAGCCCCAGGGGAGCAGGACTCCCAGGTCAGTGAGATCCTCAGTGCCTTGGAGCGCAGGGTGCTGGACAGTGAGGGGCAGCTGCAGCTGGTAGGCTCAGGCCTGCACAAGGTGGAAGCAGCTGGGGAGGCCCAGCAGGCCGCGCTGGAGGGACTGCAAGGGGTCGTGGGCCATCTCCAGGGTCGTGTCGATGCACTGGATGAGACAGCTGCAGAGTTCACACTGCAGCTGAATCTCACAGCTGCACGGCTGGGCCAACTGGAGGGTCTGCTGCAGGCCCGTGGGGATGAGGGCTGTGGGGCCTGTGGTGGTGTCCAGGAGGAACTGGGCCGCCTTCGGGATGGTGTGGAGCGCTGCTCCTGCCCACTGTTACCCCCACGGGGCCCGGGGGCCGGCCCGGGTGTGGGGGGACCAAGCCGTGGGCCTCTGGATGGCTTCAGTGTCTTTGGGGGCAGCTCAGGCTCAGCCCTCCAGGCCCTGCAAGGAGAGCTCTCTGAGGTTATTCTCACCTTCAGCTCCCTCAATGACTCACTGCATGAGCTCCAGACCACTGTGGAGGGCCAGGGTGCTGATCTGGCTGACCTGGGAGCCACCAAGGACCGCATCATCTCTGAGATTAACAGGCTGCAGCAGGAGGCCACAGAGCATGCTACAGAGAGTGAGGAGCGCTTCCGAGGCCTGGAAGAAGGACAGGCACAGGCTGGCCAGTGCCCTAGCCTAGAGGGGCGATTGGGCCGCCTTGAGGGAGTCTGTGAGCGGTTAGACACAGTGGCCGGGGGACTGCAAGGCCTGCGTGAAGGCCTTTCCAGACACGTGGCTGGGCTCTGGGCCAGGCTACGGGAAACCAACAGCACCAGCCAGACCCAGGCAGCCCTGCTGGAGAAGCTGCTGGAGGGGCAGGCTGGCCTGGGCAAGCGGCTTGGTGCCCTTAACAGCTCCCTACTGCTCCTGGAAGACCGACTTCACCAGCTCAGTCTGAAGGACCTCACTGGTGAGAGGGGAAGAGGGGGTGCGGAGTGAGGGGCCCCTTTCAAGTCCTTTCTTTCTCCTCCCTTGACCCTAAGACAGCCCCGCCCTAACCTCATCTGCTTTCTCCTGGCCCTGCCCTGCATGAACTGCAGACCCACCACTGTCCCAGGGCTTGGTTTGTCCACAAGAGATGATCCAAGGTCCCAGCTCCCTGCCCTCCCCTGATGGCTCAGACAGGCCTTTGGGTGGAGGCGGGGTGCTGCACTGCCAGCTAGATACCCAGGATGGGCAGTGAAGGGCCTTGTCACCTGTCCATGGAGCCACCATTTTCCTTGTCCTTTGGAAATTCCTCTTATGGCTCTTCTTCAACCTAGCTTTGTCACTGTAGGGCCTGCAGGTGAGGCTGGGCCCCCAGGGCCTCCTGGGATGCAGGGACCCCCAGGCCCTGCTGGACCTCCAGGACCTCCAGGCAAGGATGGACAAGAGGGGCCAATTGGGCCACCAGGTATGTGTGCTGAGATCCTTGCTGTGGCCAGGGTTATCACCCACCTAGGCCGACCTGGGCTTGACATTCCACTCTGACCTTGACAGAGAAGGAGGGAAGGAGGCGAGGAACTGGGGCTCCTACATGGCTGATAATGACAAGGAAAGTGACTAGGAGCTAGGATAGTCATTGTGTTGGCCAACTGGCTACGGTGGCCTCACTGCTGTGTTGAAGGCTGAGCCTACAAAGGCTGTGTAGGTGTGAAAGGCTGGGGGCTAGGGCTCATAGCCCAACAGTTGAACAGAACGGACCTTCTCTATTCCTCCTTTTCTTGATACCCCCATTCCTGCTTTGGAGTCTGCATAGCACCTAGCACAGTGCAAAAGACTCAACAGATGTTTGCTGAGTGACTTAGCAAAAGTTCCCCTACTTCTCACTGCTCCCTTTCCTCTTCCCACAGGTCCCCAAGGTGAACAGGGTAAGTTCCTCTCATTCAATGCTGGAGGGAGGGGAACTGAACTAGGGTTTGGAGGATACCTCAGGCAGCTATGGGGTTAGAGAGGGAAAGAGGGATGGACAGCTCTGCACCAAGCATCCACTCTGACACCCTCTTCACCCCCACCCAGGAGTGGAGGGGGCACCAGCACCCTCTGTGCCCCGGGTGGCCTTTTCAGCTGCCCTGAGTTTGCCCCGGTCTGAACCAGGCACAGTGCCCTTCGACAGAGTCCTACTCAACGATGGGGGCTACTACGACCCAGAGACTGGTAAGCCCGGGCACTGGGGCGAGTCAGGGAGGCTGTGCAGTGATATGTCCCCATTCCTGACTTTTCAGACAAGGTGAATCTTCATTCTTTGGTTTGGGGAGACCCGTGTTCTTGCCTTCATTTATTCATTCTCACCACAGTTTGGGCTGAATGGTGGGGTTGGGAGGGGAGGCGCTCTGGGTCCAGAGCTCTCTTCTGGGGCCCTGCTCTTGCCCAGGCAGTTTGAAGTGCTGGGGATGCGGAAATGTACAACACCGAATGCCCTGCCTTCGTGGAGCTTACATTACAAGAGAGGAGAAAAGACCCAGCAGGTCCCTCTCTGGTCCAGGAGTTCTGGATGACCTCCCAGAGGCCTTCCCACTCCCTGCCACCTGTTCCCTCCTGACCGCCACTCTTGCCCCCAGGCGTGTTCACGGCGCCACTGGCTGGACGCTACTTGCTGAGCGCAGTGCTGACTGGGCACCGGCACGAGAAAGTGGAGGCGGTGCTGTCTCGCTCCAACCTGGGCGTGGCTCGTATAGACTCTGGCGGGTACGAGCCTGAGGGCCTGGAGAATAAGCCGGTGGCCGAAAGCCAGCCCAGCCCAGGCGCCCTGGGCGTCTTCAGCCTCATCCTGCCGCTGCAGGCTGGGGACACCGTCTGCATCGACCTGGTCATGGGGCAGCTGGCGCACTCGGAGGAGCCGCTCACCATCTTCAGCGGAGCCCTGCTCTACGGGGACCTGGAGCTAGAACAGGCGTAGACCAGGGGCTGGGCCCGACCGGCCCAAAGTGTCTACGCCGGCCAAAGAGCCAGCTGGGGCGGCGGCTCCCCGGGGTCTTGCCAGGGACGGGGCGCCGACCCTGAGCGAGCCGCTGTCTCCGTACCCGCCGCGGCACAGGCGTCCAGAGTAACCTCCTCCTCACGGTCGGAGCGTACGGGTCGAGGACTCTGGGGGTCGCCTCATTGGGGCTTTTGGTCTGATCACCGTCCCCTGCAAGACCTAGACTGCGGAGGAGCCGATCCTTGCACCCTTTCCTCCCCCAGCTGGCTTTTTGGCCGATTCCCTGGGCTCCGGGGCTCTCCCGAGGGGGCTCCGGTCCCCATTGCCATACTAAACTATTCAGGAATAAAGACACTTGGTTTTTCTAAAAAACAAAACAAAACGAAAAAAGCTGTCTGCTCCAGTATGTGTTCAGGGGTAGACAGGAATTCACAGGGTATTGGGTGAGGGAGCCCTCGGTTCTGGACCCTGCTCGCGCCCTCCTCTCTGCCTTGGGTGGCTCTGCCCGCAGTCACTTGACGCGCGGGCGGGAAGTGCGCCGAGAATGGCCCTCCTCCAGGTCGCCCTTTCCGCCGACGTCCGCCAGAGGGCGTTGGGAGTTGAGACCACAGCGCCGGCGGGCGATGTCTCCGGTCACGTGACCACTGCCGCTCACCTTGCGGGCCCCGGCTGCTTAGCGGCGGACGCTAGGCCTCGGGCTGCGATTGGCCGGACTTCAGGGGCGGGGCGGGGCGGCGGCGGCGGCGCGAGCAGCTGCGCGGGATGCAGGGGGGCCAGGCCGCAGCTGCGAGGCCCGACTCAACTCTGCCTGTCCAGGGTCTGGAGTGGGAGCCGCCGGTGCAAGAGAGGGCAGGGTAAGAGGTGCCTTTCTACCGCACTTTCTGTTGGCATTCATGAGGTTGCCTAGCTGTCCCTTGGACAGCTTTGCATTAGCTCCGAATCCGTATGACAAGTGAGGAAATTGAGGCCGAGAAGTGGGATGCGTGGCCATATCCTGTGCCACACAACTGCTAAGGGGAGGCCGGAAATCAAAACCTCGGGGTCTGCGCCCCCAGGCCCGCCGGGGTAGGTGAGCGTGGAGAGCAAGAGCCCGGCTCCGTCCCCGGTACCCCACTGCACCCCTCGCCGCTGCGGGAAGCTCCCTGGAGGAGGAGCTCGGGACGCGGAGGAGGAGCCAGGGCAGCCCCTGGGAGCGGGGACACGATCCTCCGGGATAAGAGGCAGAGAGCGAAAGGAACCCCGTCAGCCGGGCGTGCAGAAAGCTCCGGGAGCAGCCTCATGGAAGAGAAGCAGATCCTGTGCGTGGGGCTAGTGGTGTTGGACGTCATCAATGTGGTGGACAAGTACCCGGAGGAGGACACAGACACCAGGTAGGGGCGTCCGGGCCCCTCGGAAACCCCAGGGGCCGCTACAGCCCCGCTTTGTGCCCGGCGGCCAAGACTACAGGGCTGCTGAGCCAGGGGCCCCGCAGCGAGGCTGTGAGAGCCTGCCTGGAGCCGGGAGCCGGGAGCCGGTGCCCCGTGCCCTTCTGCCAGGACCTGGAGAAAGAATTGAGGCCTTTAGTAATAAGACCCAGGCTTTGGATAGCACTGTGTTCGCCAATTCCCAGTTCAACCGTGAGACCGTGTCAGACATCATTATCCCCATTTTACTAAGTAGAGTAAGCAAGTAGAGACTCTGGGGGTCGCAGTGGCTTATCCAAGGGCACGTAGCTAGAAAGGTGCAGGATCAGTTTCTTTTTAACAAGACCTATGCACTTGCTTCCCACCAGCATTTACTTCTAATTTATTTACCCATATATATCCCATCTGTTTCTTAAAAAAATTTTTTGATGTAGCTTACAATAAGAACATATGTGAAGTTAGACTATTCAAGAACATTTTAAACCATCGTGATTGAGTTTCAGTTAGCTCAAGGCTTGCTGGCGCTGTGGGCAAATTTGGAGATGCTGAGTTATTGGTAGAGCTGGTTCATGAGCCACAACAGACTTCTCTCTGGGGCAGAATTCCAGAAGGAGTTTACCAGGAGTCTTTTTTACAATAGTCAGTGAACAGCATAGTGGGAAACATCCTTTTCAGTTGTCTGGTAGAAGTTGAAGAGTCATTTGTTGGTTCTCATATTTACTCTTGGTAAGACCCACTCCATTACACTATAATCCCAAGACACTTATTTTTTTTCCCAGGACACTTCTGTGCCCCAGAATCCATAGCCTTCTCTCAGTGCAGTCTAGTGCTTAGAATCCTGAGAAGAATTGCTTCTTGGCTATCAATTTTCTCAGCCAAGAATTGGATAAAAAGCTAGTTTGGGATTGAGCTCCGGCAAGACACAACAGCATCGGTGGCTATGAGGCTAATTGAGGGGGCGTCCTTCAGGCGTGGGTCCTCACAGCGCTATCACCACGTTATCCCGTACTTTCTTCACAGTAGCCTATGGGAAGCATGTAGGGGTCAGTTACATCCTCTATTTATAGATGAGGAAGCTAAAGATTTGGAGAAATTAAATAATTTTTAAAGGCGTGTAGTTAATGAGAGGCAGAGCAGTAGTTACAGCTCAGGTGTCCTAACCCTGAGGCTGGTGCTCCAGCCCTCTACCGTCTTTTGTGTCCTCTGCTTCCTTTGCTGCTGCCCATCTCATGGAGTTGATTCTTTGCTTCCAGCTGCTTTGTTTGCTGAAGATTAGAGCTCCTTGCCAGGGGTGCAGAGACAGAGGGGGAGGGGCACAAGACTGCTGCTGTGTGGACCTAGCCCACCCACCAAGGTCAAGCCAGCCCTAGGACTTGGTGCACAGCAAGAAGTTTGGTTTACTCTCAGGAGAACAGCGCGAATTCTAAGGCCACTGGTTCTCCAAGAACTGTGGAGGGCCTGGAGAGGACCCAGAGTGCCTGTTCCACTAGAGCCATGTCCCATTCCCTTTATGTCAGGAGGCTAAGGAGATCGTGCTAGTCCCACGCTGATGGGGGCTAGTTCTGAAGGTGGGCACTAAGCAAGGCATCTCTCTAACGAGATCCTTCCCAAGTCCTCCATGCACCCTGCCCTTCAGGGGGTACCTCCCCCTGTCCCGGACGTGGCTCTGCTTCTCTGCAGAGCGGATTGGTTGTCCACAGGGCTTCTCTCCTGTGCTCCCATCCCACCCAGCCCAGCTCCTGGACTCTGTTGTGCCTCTCAGATGAGCAAACCTGAGTGGAGACCCGGCCCTGCGCAGGCATCTCAGCCTCACCTGTCCTGGGCTCACTCCCTAGGCAGCTGCAGACTCTCAGGAGCTGCCACCTGGAACTCGACTCTGAGGAATGGCCCTGCCTCCCAGAGTCCAAGCTAAGAAGACACTTCCAATAGGCATCTTCATGCTCAGCAGAGCATTTCTGTACAGGAAGTTGGGCATCCGTGTGACTGAAGGGTTTTCAGGGTAAAATTGTATCTCCTTTCTCTGAAACCTCATCCAAGCTGAGGCCCAACTGCTCTCCATTCAGAAATGCAGAGTACTTGCAGGGGTTCTGAGGTCAGGAAGCCCAGGTTCTGGTATCAGCTTTGTCATTAATGGTTGATGTGATCTTGAGCAAGTCCAGTCCCTCCAGGCTTCTTCTCTTTTCTCTGCATGAAAATTTCTCTAAAGCTCATAGCTTGAGAAATGTTTGACCCTCCACTGATTAGGATCCTTCCTTCTCATGAGATCAGGGTCCTCTTTTCCCAAGGCTGAAAAGAACTTCAGGATTAAAGTTTGTATATAAATATGCCTTACCCTAAAAATTCTGCTTCATTTGTTTCTCTTAGTGGTTCTTTGATATTTGTTCCTCTTGCTGTAAGCTGCCACAGGTATTATTATTATTATTATTATTATTATTATTATTATTATTAAACAGAAGAATAGAAATAACAGCCTGCGCTGTTTGCCTCACAGTATTTTTGGAGCACAAATGAGAAATCATTGAAGTACTTTGACTATGTATGCGTAAGTTATAATTTTTGTTGTTGATAATGACAATGAAGCCCTTCAGGTATATCTTGAGCTAATTTCCTTTTTTTAGATTTTCAGTCAGGATGGAGAAAAACAAACGAAAAAAGAAGGTAATCATGTGATGTGATGGATATGTTAACCAACCATATTGTAGTACCCATTTCATGATATATACGTATATCAAATCATCATGTTATGTATCTTAAGTTTACAGAATGCTGTATGTCAATTGTATTTCAATAAAGCTGAAAAAAAGGTGGAGGGGGTCAAACAAAGATAGAGAAAACTGGTCTCCACCCAATAATCCTAACTTTTGATATGGTAAAAGTTAGCACCTCCTCCCTCTTCTTAAATGATCATGATGTCCAGGCTTGCTTCCTGTCTTACTCATTTTAACCCGAGTTATTACTAAAGTGGGCCCTGATATGACAGGAGCAGCAGTAGATTTGCCAGCTTTGGGAAGAGGCACTTGGAGTTATCCAGCTCCCACGGAAGAGGCTTGCTGGGGAAGAGCTGGGTCACTGTAACTGAGGAGGGGGGAACCCAGAGTCAGTAGAGCCCTCAGGTTGTGATGGGCCTGAGTGAGCACTTTCCTGATGTCATAAGAATAGGTGAAAGACAGAAATTCATCACTGTGAATTTGAATTTAGCCTGGGCTGGGGAACAGACCTGGTCCTCAGCCGAGCCCCTTCTCTTCACTGAGCCTTAGCTGCCCGCCTGGAAAACCAGAAGGCTAGGTCTGGACGCTTTCTGAGGGGATCTCCTGGCTTTTACATTCTGTGGGCTCTACCCAGGGCTCGGCTGGCTTATCCCGGCACCAGCCTTCTGGAGCTGCAGGGGCCTCCTTGTGTTTTGCAGGTGCTTGTCCCAGAGGTGGCAGCGTGGAGGCAACGCATCCAACTCCTGCACTGTCCTCTCCCTGCTTGGAGCCCCCTGTGCCTTCATGGGCTCTCTGGCCCCAGGCCACGTTGCCAAGTGAGTGGAGGGCGCAGGGGAGGCCAGCCTGCAGCGTTGGGGGAGGAGAAGGAAGCCTTGGCCCTGGGTGGGCAGCCTCTGAGAAGTGGTCTGTGGCCACCAGAAATGGGTGGAGGGGGAGGAGTGGAGTACCAGCATCCCAGACACTCCCTGGTGTGGCTTATCTGCTGCTCAGTTGTTAACACTGCTCCTGTTAAAGGTTTCACTTCAAGCCTGTTTCCTTGGCCACTCCCTGGAGCCCGCTTCAGCTTCCCACCTTCTTCCTTGCTTCCAACAGACTCTCTGCGGTGGATGTGACTTTGCCCTTCTCAAGTCCCTTATCCTGGCTGTGCTGGTTGCAGAGGGCAGTTAGGGACATGCTGTACCTGCCCTCCCTCAGGGATGTCCTGCATCCATGGTCCCAGAGTCCAGGCCTGCAGTCTCTTTCCCAGCTCAGGGGGCAGGGCCTGTGCTTTTGTCCCTGTTGTTCACTGAAGCAGTGAGAGCTCCCTGCCCAAGGGCACCCCGATGCCCTGTGCTAAAACTCGGCCCGGACCCACTCCTCCCAGCTCGTTGGCTGGGAGCCCGCAGCCCGTAGTGGCCCACACACTTTCTCCATGTTGGCTGCCGCAGAGACCCGAGAGCCCTTTGACCCCGGGCACTGCTGACTCAGCAAGCGCTTATCAGGAGGTGAGGCCCACACTCTGCCCATTGTGGGCACAGGGGCAGGCTGCCAGGCTGCTGGCCTGTAAAGCACAGCCCTTTGAACTCTAGTTGGAGAGGGGCTGCTGCCAGAGCCCAGCCCCAAACCGCAGCCAAATTCCCTTCCTGAAGAACTGGCATGAAGCAAATAAGGGGGTGAGAGCCTGCGCCATGAGGTGGGACAGAGGGACCCGGAGCCAACAGCGGCTCACCTATCAACCCTCTTCAGCAGCTGCCTCCCTCAGCGCTAGAGCAAGACTGTGGCTCTTGCTTTGGGGGGTGGACCCACCTTCATGTAGCAATCACGCCATAGGTAGGCCATTCGTGATTCTCCTCTCGTGTTCAGCAAACCATGTGCCCAGTGCTGTGGGTGCAAAAAGTATTTGGCAAACCAAACCATATTTTCCATGCTGTGGGAAAGCTACTATTTAAAGGATCCTTGAGATGTAAGACAAGGAACGATGCCCCAGCATGGTACCTTTACACAAATCTGTATTGTCCAGCCTTGATGTTGCCAAAGGTGGGGTCCTGCCATAGTGAGAAAGGCCAGGATGGTGGCTGGACTACTGGGCATAGTTACCAGCTCCTGGTTACAGGACACTGTGTTTCCAGAGAGCCGGGAGGGGTGGGGTACTTTCCTTGTTCCGCTGGTGCCGTCCTCCTGAGGGGCTGCCCTCTCCCCATTCACTCTGATTGGAGGGGATTCTGAGCAAGAGTCCTGGACCCTGTCAGTCCATACTGAGGGGCCTCAGGCACTGGGAGGGCTCATCACGCTGTGAAAGGAGAGGGTGGTGAGCAGGCCTCCGAGGGAGTACCACTTCCTGGCTGGGCATCATGGAGGCAGGTGCAGAATGAGAGGAATCACGTTAGGACTGGAAAGGACTTCAGAGAGAGGAGTACCATGGGGATGAGATGCAGAGGGCAACTAGGGGACAAAGTATCACCTCAGTAATTATTAATTCTGCCTGAACCTTGCATCGTACAGGCCACAGTGCCCTCACCTGCTTGGTTCAAATAGGGTATGTGTTCTAGGTTCTAAGTCTAACCCCTCTAGCTTTATGAACTTAAGTAGATTCTTTCCAGCTTGAGTCAGACTGAAGGACAGGGTCAAGGTTGGCTTCAATCAGGACCTTAAAGAATGTCCCTTAGTGTTTTCTCACTGAGTTCCAGTGCACCCCTGCCTCTCCTGCCCCTACACAGCCTGTGACGGTGAATCCCCTCCTAGCCCCTCTGCTTGCACCCCAGGGTCCCTAGTGGCCCTGCCACCTACCCTTCAGACCCCAAACCCTCCGCCGAACTGTGCCTCCCCCACGTTACTCCGCTCCGGCAGTTTTGTCCTGGACGACCTCCGCCGCTATGCCGTGGACCTACGCTACACGGTCTTTCAGACCACGGGCTCCGTCCCCATCTCCACAGTCATCGTCAACGAGGCCAGTGGTAGCCGCACCATCCTGCATGCCTACAGGTTTGTGCACCTGTCTGTGTGCGCCTTGCCAGCTGCCATCGCCATCACTGAGCTCCCAGAGCAGGACCCTTCTCTCCGAGGCCCAGCACTGCTCCTCGCCCCACGGGAGGTCCAGGCCACCTGTAGCCTCTAACGTGTGTCTCCTTGCCCTTCCCTTGGCTCGGGCTCCACCCCAAGCTTCCTGGTGGCTGACTTCAGGCAGCGGGGCGTGGACGTGTCTCAGGTGGCCTGGCAGAGCAGGGGGGAGACCCCGTGCTCTTGCTGCATCGTCAACACCTCCAGTGGCTCCCGTACCATTGTGCTCTATGACACGTAAGGCCCCCTGGCCTCCCCTGCCACAGCCCACCAATCAGTTTCCTTACTCGCCACTGAGGGCATCCTATTGCCCACCTCTGTGGCCTCTCTCTTTGTACCAGAAATTGTCCCTGTGCCAAACTGTTCAGTGATTTCTGAATTGCTTCCAATTAGGGGAGGAGTGAGGTGGGAAGGGATGGGCTTTGCTCTGCCTGGTAACTTGCCCTTGGTCAACACCAAGGATGCGCAGGCAGGCCTGTGCAAAATATAATTTATGATGTGATTCCGCCATAATTAGCCAATCAGCAGCTTGGGTATGGGTATGGGGAAATTGTTCTGAGGACAGAGGGGTGGGAGATGTGATTCAAACCACCTTGAACCCTGAAGGGGGCCCACTGGAATTTCCAGGGTCAACCCCGGAGTTGCCAGCCTACAGCATGGTACCAGGGACTGGGTTTGGACGTTTGAAAAAGATAAGCCCCTCCAAAGTCCCAGCATAATGAAGTCAGACCAGATGCCACACGCTTAGCCAGGGAAATAGGAACATTGGGTCAGCAGCTCAGGGCCATCTGATGTATTGCTAACCTTGGGGGAGGGAGACCCTTCTCATCTCTCCCAGGTTCCCTCCTGAACAAGGTTTAGTTTACTAGTGTGGATTTAGTGTGTGCCAGGTGCTCTGTTGGGGCTGAGATGGCCCAAGCCCGTCTGCCCTGGGGTTCAGACTGTTCCTGCTGCCCAGCATGACCTCTGGACCTGGGGGAGGGGCAGTCATCCTAGGACAAGCTTTATAACCAGTAGCCTTGGGCTCTGTGTTTCCCAGTGAATGAGTAGATAGCCATACATGCTAGAGGTGATCTTCCCACTGGACAACCCTAGTCATCTGCCCAGCAAGTAACAATCTGTAGCAACTTTGATGGACACAACATAGGTATTCTTGGGAAGGGAGGGAGCTCTGAGGAGAAATGTTTATGGCCCACTGGCCTCGGTCCAAGCATATCCACACACATTATCTCCAGCTGCAGCAGGCCTGTGAGGCGGGGGGTTTCAGCCCCATTTACCAATTGGGGAGCACCTCAGAAAGGCCTCGGTCACCCAGCTAGTTAAATCGAGGGAGGATTCAGCCGCAGAACATGGAGGGGAGGACACTGCTGTGTGTAGGTCTCTGGCCAAGGAAGGTCAAGGCGGACCCTTCCCAGGTCTCCACACCTAAGCTGGCCAAAAATAAACTTGCCCTCAATCACCAACCGTGATCTCAGGGTAATAGCACGGAGCTAACCAACTCAGAACAGTGGTGCTGTCATCGCTGGGGCGCCAGAAGTGAGTAGGACCAGACCTGAGCTCTGGGCAGAACAGCCATGGCCTTTGTAGTTTCCCGGGCACGGCATACTGGGAGCTGCTGGCAAGGGGAGATTCTGGGAACTGTAGTCCCTGGTGCTTTTAGAGCATTTTGGGAGATGTGGTCTCCACCGCACGTGGAACTGGCCCCTTGCTTGACACATGCTATGGCTGAGTTTGCCCTTAGATAATATCACAGCCTCAAACACAGGAAGGGGCACCCTATCACCGCTTCCAGTCCCCTGTCTGGGTGGAGCTGACTCTGGTGAGGAGGAGTGGTCCTGAGTTTTGCCTGGATCAGAGTCTGTCCTGGAGCTGAGCCTCAAAAGCCTGTGCTGTGGGTAGATCCAGCTTCCTGCCATGCTGCAGGCTGCGCCAGGTAGAGATCCTGGCCCTGGCTGGCCTCACCATGCCCCTTCTCTGTCCTTTCTGTCCTGTGACTCAGGAACCTGCCAGATGTGTCTGCCAAAGACTTTGAGCAAGTTGATCTGACCCGGTTCAAGTGGATCCACATTGAGGCAAGCCCTGCCCTACCTGTGTTTTGAGGGTCTCAACCCGCCAGCTCCTCTACATGTTGTGCCTCCGTCTCGGTTTCTTCTAAAAAGTTTTTTTTTAATTTATTATTATTTTAACATTTACTGAATCCTACTCCATTTTTTTTGAAGGGGGAGGTAATTAGGTTTGTTTATTTAGTTATTATTATTTTTAATGGAAGTACTGGGGATTGAACCTAGGACCTCGTTCATGCTAAGCATGTGCTCTGCCATTTGAGCTATACCCTCCCCCCTTCTCAGTTTCTTTGAAGCATGGAGTACCTTAGAGATAAATGAACCCAACCACCTCGTCCCCTCTCCATCCTTTTATGTTTTCAGGTAGGAAACTAAGGCCCAGAAAGATTGGGTGACTTACTCAAGGTCACACGGCAGGATGTGGGCACCAGAAGCAGGATGCTGGCTCCAGGCAAAGTCCTGTGCCTTCTGTGTTACAGGCTGCCCCACTTCCTCCTAACCAGACCTCTGGCAGGGGCCTGCCTGTGGGAGGCGTGGCCCATTACTTCTAGGGAGGCACGAATGAAGGTCTTACTTAGCTCCCAAAAAGGGAACTAGAATCTTCATTCCAAGAGAAAGTTTCAGAGTCTGGGTGGGAGGAGACCCCAAGAAGCCCTCAGTTCTAATCCTAGCCCTGTCATTTGAATTACTGTAGGTCTTTAGGAAAGTCTCTCTTTTATTCTTTAGTCTTCTCATCTGTGAAATGGGAGGGTTGGTCAATAAGGTCTCAGTCCATCACAGTGCTAGAATTTTGAGACTTAGGATGGGATTTCAGCCTAGCCTCCCTGGCCCCTCTCCCCCTTACCCATACTTCTAGCAGGGACAGAAGAATGAGCCAGATGGGCTGGGTAGTGCCTAGGTGGTCCTGAGCTGCCCGCCCTGCCCTGCTCTGCCCCAGGGCCGGAACGCATCGGAGCAAGTGAAGATGCTGCAGCGGATAGAACAGCACAATGCAGGGCAGCCTCCAGAACAGAAGATCCGGGTGTCCGTGGAGGTGGAGAAGCCGCGAGAGGAACTGTACCAGCTGTTTGGCTACGGAGACGTGGTGAGCATTCCCCGCAGCCTCCCCTTGCCACATCCAGCTTAATTTGGTTCCTAAAGAGAGTCCGAGCATTCCCTTGTCCTGCCTACCACACTTGGGATGGCACCTTGTGGCCTGGTGATGTTGGCAGGTAGGGGCAAAGCAAAGAGGCAGACCTCACAGAGGCCAAGGAGTAGACTTTCTCCGCCCTAGTGGTGGCATAGGTATGAGGGCAGCCGGAGGGCTTGGACAGGACCAAGCCAGCCAGCCACAGGGCCAGCCGGCGTGGACGCATCTCCTCCCTGGGCTTCCTGCCTTTTCCTCTGTCAAATGTCGGAATAGGACTGTTCTCCCAGGTGTCCTCCAACTCTGGGGTGGGAGCCACCCAGGGTGAGGGCAGATGGGAAGGCGCCTTGCACATGGTAAATTTGGAATGTAAATGGGATCTGGGTGATAATTCTAGCATCACAGCAGAAGCTGGTGGGGCCTCCACCTCGGCTGCACTTAACAGATGTGGATGCCTGAGCCCCGCCCTCTTTTTATTTAGTTGGTAGGAGTGGATCCTGGGCTGAAGTATTTTTTAACAAAACTTTCTGGTGATTATAATATGTAGCTGGTGTGGAAGAAGCTCTAGAACCCCTACCCCTTTGTTTTAAAGATGAAGAAATCAGGCCTAGAGGGCATAACCGTATGAGAAAAGCAAAACAATAAAAACGGCCCTGAGAGCCATGGTTTAACTTGCTATTGGTAGATTTCACCACAAGATGGCGCTGAAGACTCACTTTGGGTTTTCAATTGTGAGGAAATTCATTGATCTTAGAATAAATAGGGCTTTTTTGTTACAATTTACATGGCTGTTCTCTAGCATATCTTGAGCAAATATGACACTGTGTTCCTGAGGGACAGCGAGATGCTGTTGGGGGACTTAAGTGGCTACTTTGGAGGAGTCGTGTTACATTATCAATGCCAGGCTGCTTGGTGAGTGACAGCTGGGGCTAGAGCCGCGGTGACTGTCAGCCTCTCTTCCACTGCTCACAGGTGTTTGTCAGCAAAGATGTGGCCAAGCACTTGGGGTTCCGGTCAGCAGTGGAGGCCCTGAGGGGCCTGTACGGTCGAGTGAGGACAGGGTGAGTTGGGGGAGCCAGGCAAAAGCCCTGGGTGTGGGGAGTGAGTGCGCCTGACCTCCGGGTCTGCCCCAGAGGTGGAGGAGGTGAGGGGGGGCAGGGCTGGGCTGACACCCAGCTGAGTGGAGGGTCTCTCAGGGCTTCGCTCATCTGTGCCTGGGCTGAGGAGGGCGCGGATGCCCTGGGCCCTGACGGCCGGCTGCTGCACTCTGACGCTTTCCCGCCGCCCCGGGTTGTGGACACTCTGGGGGCAGGAGACACCTTCAACGCCTCGGTCATCTTCAGCCTGTCCCAGGGTGAGTACTCCAACAGGAAGCACGGGGCTGCTGCCTGCTCCTGCCGGAACACCAGGCTGATCCAGCTGCCTGTCCCTCCCTCCAGGGAAGAGCATGCAGGAGGCGCTGACGTTTGGCTGCCAGGTGGCCGGCAAGAAGTGCGGTCTGCAGGGCTTCGATGGCATCGTGTGAGTGCCCTGTAGTTGGGGCACGGGCTCACACCCCTGACCTGCCGCAAGTCTGGCAGCACTGGCTGCCGTTGGTTTCTTCTCTCTAGCTAGCCTTGCATCAGGCTGCCCTGCTCCCTGGGCATCTGCCAGCTGTGAGAGGGCCCCCCTGTGACCTGGTGTCGCATGTGGCAGAGCCGCAGAGCAAATAAATCCCTTTCCCAGAGCCATCTCCCTTCTGGCAGTCTGTTCATCCTTGATGTCCATGCTGCTCTGGCTGGGGATTCTGGAGGCTTTCATCATGTAGGCCTTCACCCTCTTTTTCTCTGTTCCCCAAATTCACCTCCTGCCCAGGCCCCAAGGAGGCACCCGCCCAGACCAGAGCAGCAGGAAGTGCCCCAGGCTTGCCACCAGCTGTGCCCTTACTGGGGCCCAGCCCTCCCTGGTGAAGAGCAGCCACTGGGCCTGGTAGAGGCCAGACTTCCTGGTGGGGGAGGAGACAACCCCTTGCTCCCCAGGGAAACTTCTGAAAAAACACAAGCCCTGAGAAATGCTCCTCTGGGCTGTCATGAGACTCAAATCCCATGGCTGCAGGAGTGTCCACATGGCTGAGCCAAACTGACAGGCTGGGTAGGGAGCCTAGTCTGTGGTTTGGTGGAGCCTTTGCAGTTTAAAAATATCTCCCTAGTCATTGCCGCCGAGTCTGACCGCCTCACCCTTGGAGCCACCTCATAGTTAAGGTGGTACCTCAGCCACAGATGTGACCCAGGATACAGAGTATAGCTGTCCCTGGGTCTGAGGGCATATTAGAATGGTGGATTTCCACATGGGAGTTGGGACAGGGGGAGTGAGGTCATAGAGTATGATAAAGGGTGAGACAGACCTGAATTCAAATGTGCCACTTCATTAGCTGTGTCACCTTGGGTACGTTACTGAACTCACCTCCAATTTCCTCATCTATCAAATGGGACTAATTTTGCTTAGTGATAGAATTATCATAAGGATAAAATCAGACGGTAGATAAAATGCCTGCCATGCTGCCCAGTGTGTACTAGGCTCTCAACAAATGGTAGTTATTGTTAATATTTTCAGAGGTTGGGGGCAGATACAGGATGATAAGGAAGATCTGCTCTGAACAGGCCGCTGGTGGTCCGACACCAGGTGAGAGGGGACCAGGAGTGGCTGGGCTGCAGGAAGAGGCTAAGCTCTCCTGCCTGGGTTGTCTGCAGCTGGCTATGGCCTAGTGCGGTACGCTGCTGTGTCTCAGCACCATCTGGGAACACTGGAAAAGCTGGATCCCTGCCCCTCCCAGAGGCCTGTCCAGTCCCCTACCCCCTGCAGCCTGAGGTCAGAGCAGGAGGGATGAGTTCATTCAGTTCTTTATTGGTTGTCCGGACCCTAAAGCTGCCCTTCAACTTAGGGTCTCCCTGAGCTGCACAGAAAGACCTGCCGCCTACTGGGGCCAGGAACAGGGAACAGAAGGGGTCATCGTCCCAACATACACACCCCACCCACCCTTCACGGTTTATGTTCTAGCACTGAGACTTATAGGGTGCAAACCTGTATCCTCAAGGTTTATATCTCTTCATTCTCCAGCTGAATAGCATGGACCTCAAACTCATTTAGGGTGTTCTCAGACTCCAGTGTTTCCCCTGGGAGCTCCTCTGCTCCCTCTCCAGTGTCCCTGGCCTCTGCCTGTCTCCCAATCTCCCCTCCTGGGCCTGGGGCTTCTTTTTCAGCCTCTGCCTGTCCCTCAGCCTCCTGTACAGGCTCCGAGGACTCCCTTCTGACCGCCATCTGTCCCCCAGCTTCTTCTCCAGGACCCAGGGCTTCATGTATTTCTTGTCTTGATGGAGTTTTAGCCAGCAGAGGCTGCGTCTCAGCTTCTTGTGGCCCCAGGGGCTCTTTGGGCTCTGCAAGCCTGGGGGCCTCTCCGGGGAAGTTGATGAGCTCTGCAGGGGTCATGAGCCCATCCCCATTCAGGTCCTGGGTCTCCAGCACCTTATCCACTACCAGGATCACCTGTGGAAGGGTCTACAGTGACTGGAGATGCTCCCAGGAGCCTTGACCCACCCAACAACACCCTCTGCATCCCTGCCATGCAGGCTTTGAGCCCTCCTTTTACAAGGGATTCACCCAAAGAATCATGATGAAAAAAACCAAAGCCACAAGGAGCTGGGTCTTCTTCTTGGGAGAAGGGGCCTCCCATCCATCAGGGCTTACCGGGTTGGTGGTGGGAGAGTCAGCAGCTCCAGGGGCCAGAGCTGCTGTCAACATGGACAACAGCTCTAGGCCATCCAGCTGTCCACTCTGGTCATAGTCATGGAGGGCAAAGAGGTAGAGGAGAACTAAGAAGGAAAGGCTGGATCAGAAGAGGCATCAGGGGATAGGTGGAGGAGGCAGGAGTCCTGGGATGGCCCGAGGTCAGTCCAAGCTCAGGCTGCCCTGAGCCTCCGGTCCACTGGCCCTAACAGCCCAGCCCAGGTCCTCACCCTGTTCCCGGCTCATGTGCTCCGGCTCCTCTTCCATCTTCTCTAGTCCCTTTAGGTAGCTCTGCAGAAGTCTGGCAGGAAAGCAGAAAATCAGCCCCCAAGGAGCCAGTCTGCAGGCCCAGGCCTGACCCTCAGGTCCCCAGCCCAGCCTACTCACCGAAGCTGCTCCTGGCCTGGCTGGAAGGGGTTGGGCAGAGGCAGATGCTGCTCTTCAGGGACCAGCCTGGAGGAAGGAGGGAAGGACCAGCCTTGCAAAGAGCCTCCCTGAGGGCCCAGCCTGGCAACAGCCTTCTATCCCCAAGCTCCTGGTACAGTTCCCTCCCCAGACCCAAAGCAAGCTGCTTCTCTGGATTCCCAAAACTTTGTGGGGACGAGGCCCTTCTGGCTTCCTCAGAAGCAGAACATTACTGCCAGACTCTGCTCTTGCAGATTCCTAACTTAAATGTTATGTGAAAATCTCAATAAAACATCCAGTTAGGAGGAGGTCACACCTCGAAGGTACAAGTTTAAGACCCAAGAAAACAGCACAGTGGGCAGCAGGACAACATGGATCGTGGCAACTTCTACTGGGATGCTGGGAGCTCAGGGACAGGTCTCTGGCTGAGCCTAGTGGTACTGCCCAGTGTTACACAAACCCGAGTTGCTCCATGACATGAAATGGACCCTTTTTTTTCCCCAAGTTGAGGGCATATATATTGGTTTTGGAGTTTCAATCTGCTCTGTCAGTCTTTAAAGCTCAAGATTTGCTCCCACTTCTGAACAGGGATCCCTGTTTGCCCAAGTCTATCCAGATCTCTGACGCCAGAGAGCTGGCAGGAGCTGGTGCAGCACTTTTGTCACTGCTGCCAGCCCTGTTGCTGCTCTGTATCTGTCCCCCGGCCCCACCCAGCTTTCCCACTGCATTGCATTAATACACAAAACAACGAGAAAGTATTCAAATAAAATAGAAATGATATGCTAATTATCTCTATTTCTTTGGCGTTCCTACTACAGAGTCTTGATAAGGGGACTGCAGCCCCTTCCCTGACCCATAGCTTCACACCTCACTGGAAATGAACCCCTGGTTTCCAAGCAAGTCCAGAAAACATGTGTTGAATACCCACTTTGCACAGGCACTAGGCAGA